ACGATGATTCGGTGCTTTTGCCTTTATCTCTCTCTCGTTCATTCGGCAGGTATTATGAATTCTGCAGGACGAAAAAAAAGAAAAACAAGGGAAAAGTAAAAATGGATCTTATTAGATCCATTTCTATGGATTTTAAGATCGCTCGCTTTAAGATTTTATAAATTTGTACCGATCGACCCGTACGACAAGAGACTCGTGAAAATTACTTCATCCTAAATTTCTACAGATGAATATCGTTAGCAACGAGGTTCAACATGTGTATTACGAAATATGATTTTTTTTCTATCTACACACGTGTCGAAATAACGTGAATAATCATGGTATGAAAAATTGGCTAGTGAATCTTGCGATTCTTTATATACATGTTTGTCTCTTATATGTTTTTTTATTTGTTTCGTATGTTGAAAAATATTTTTTAAAATGACTCATATCGTTTGTTAGGTTAGAATGTTAAAAATGTGGTTGCTCTTGCATGTCAAAGGGAGAGCGAGAGAGAGATATGTGTAGGGCAATGAAACAAATTCGTAATAAAATCCTCAAGATCAATACGATCGACGGGTGCTACAAAATTTTTATGCGATCGAGTAACTAACGAAGAGAGAGAGAGGACCAATCGATAAAAAGGTGATCAATCGATATCTCTTTTTTTTTTTATAAATTTTTCATGGTTCCGATAATCCCGTATTAAAGTATCGAAATCATTTCGCGATGATTCGATCCAATTGACGATCGCCGATCCCTCGATTGAATCGCCAATTGGCCATGGCCTATAGAAGGGCGCAATATAGGATGAGATCAGCCTACGAGAATTTCTGACACGTTTTTCCCGAACCGTGACACGATGAAATTCGCTTCGATTATGAGATAAAATCTTGACATTAACGTTTATTACGACATGTAGTAAGTATGTTATGTATAGTAAAGAGACAGTGGAGCTCCGAAGACCTAAATGAGAAGGAGAAATTTGTTTCTCGTACTCGCGATCTTTTCTTTCTTTTACTCCTTTCTTTTTCATTTTTTTTTACTCTTCATCTTTATCCATTATAAGTTATACGCAAATAATTGCAAAAACATACCCTGTTTCCTAGAATCACCGACACTCGACACGGGTCGCGGTGCTGTGACTTGATTCCAATTAAATTCAATTTTTTTTTTTTTCCATTAAAATTGGGATTGTAACACAGCACAGTGTAAGGAGGTGGACAATTTCGTGTTTCTCGTTCGTGTTGTTGTTGTGTTCTTAATGTGATTTTTTTTTTTGTATTTTGTTGCGGCTGCCGAAAACGCGGTTACCGTTGATATATATATACTTTACATGCATACGTATACGTATATACATGTGTATACATATATATATATCTATTTATGACGTCAAGGCGATAGCAACTCGCGTCGGAACGCGGGTCGACGCCGGGGGTCGTACCGACCCCCTAAACTTGACTGTGTAGTATTTAAGTTTGTCAAATATAATGTACGTGTATACGCATGCACGTTTCTGCATTTTCGTAATAAGTATGTTACATAATATTTCCTATGATACCAACGGCAAAAATTCATCTTTCTATATCGTGTCTTGTAAAAATAAATTCAAAGCTGATCCTCCGACCGATTATTATTAATCGTATTCAGTTTATTTCTTGACTTACGCCTAACAATGTCCCCAGCCCCCTGCCTTGCCCTCCCCCTCCCGCTCCCAACCCCCAACCCTTACGGTCGATTAATTATAATAGCAAGATGCAGACTACTCGGTTGTAGCAAAAACTTGTATGGATAAAATAGGTATTTTTTTTTTATTTTTACGTATCATCATTATTTTGTATTTATATTCAATTAGCAATAGGTTATCGTTATCATTAGTACTATTATCATTAAACGTTAATTTAACCTTAAGAAGCTTATATCGTAGTGATATTATCGTTTGGTGCTTGCACACAAGCATTAACCGGTACGCGCGAGTGTTGTATCTGTCCTCTGTCTTTGAGCAGAATCCATTTTTTTGTGTTTTATCCAAAATTTTACCTTATCATTGGCGTCCGTCAATAAATTCCCGTCTAATTGTCACGTCGTTCGCATCGATTATCCTTCCTTACGAGTGGATTCGAATTGGCATTTTTCCTGAAATTACGTAATCTAATAAATCGTCATCACTGTCGTCTGATATCTTATCAAAATCTTATCGACTCTCGTGACAGATGAAAACAAAAAGGAACAAATTCGTTCGAATGATCCGTCATCACGAATCTGTGTACCTGGAATCTACCGAGGGATGAAAGGATCAAACGATCACCTATATACCCGAGACTACGTCACGTCCGATTGATCAAGATCGGATCTGGTTAAAAAATCCGTTAGGTGTAGGTGTCAAGTGCGTAATATATACATATCTATTTGTACGCCTATGCACATGCCCATATATACATATATACTGTCACGTAGATACATACGTGCACATACTCGTGACGTAACACGAGAAATATATATATATATACGTGTCCGGGTTTTTCATTAATTTTCCGTAATTTCCTCTTTTCCTCTTAAAAAATTTTTTTTTTTATTTTTTATGTCATTGCTCTCGTGCGTGTGTGTATCCGTGACGTCAGTAGTGTGTGGACGCGCGCGCGCGCGCGCGTGTGTGTGTATAGGTGCGTATGTGAACGCGTCTGTCGGTGCCCTGTATAGGTTTATATCATTGACGAGAAACAATTTCATCGTGTTGACGAACGCACGACGACGCCTGTAATACCTCCTCTTTCTTTCTCCCCCCTCCCCCCAACACCCTCCCAAAACCCGCGACTTATTAAATAACCTCATCGTTAATACAATATAAAGTTAACTGTCTAAAAATGACAAGAATATATGTGTATGTATGTACCGTATTGTATATAAGCTATGTGTATTTATTAAATTATCATTATCGTTATCATTATCATTATCATTATTGTTAATTATTTATTCATTATTATTATTATTATTATTCATCGTTACTCTTATTAGCGTTATTCATTATCAATTATTAATCGTTATTAATTCTTATGTATATCGTTATCGTTACATTGTCTTATTTATATGTATATATATATATATATATATATATATGTATATAGATCCATACATGACACATACTACATACATATATAAATATACACAATATATAATCAATCGATAACTAGTAAGCCCTGTAAGCGTTGTCACAGGGTCGCCTAAATACTCTCGCCGCGTGTTATCTCTTTGATTCTTCCTTTTTTTTTCGCGTTTTTTCGTATTTTTTTTACTTTCTTCTTTCCACCTCTTTCACATCCCTGTCCCCTCCCTCCTCACTAATCCTCGATCAATCATTCCGCCTTCGACGTACATAGGTACGTGCACGAGCGCGAGCGCCTAGTATAATATATAAATTGACGCGCACGTATCGCTATGTACCATTAAGGGAGCCACATTGCACGGCCCTGTGCGAGCAGTGCTGCCGCCGACGGATTTTTTAAGCAGAGAGCGTTGCTCGCCCGCGACAAGGTACAATATTCTAATAATTCGATACTTTAAAAGGTATGTACCCGGTGAGCGCGTCAAGTCCGAGAGTGCCGTCACCATTTTTAATGAGAGGTGGTAGGGGGGCGGAGGGAAATAAAAAATATTTCAAAATGTTCGAATATTTTTTTTTCTTTTTACGGCCTGAATAATCTATATTAAAAATGGCGGCGGATCTTTCGTTGCGTTTGACCTACTCAACCTTGCTTTGTGTGTATATAATTTGTGTCCTGGTGCGTGTCGTTGTGTAGTATGTATGCATTTATGGATATATATATATATATATATATATATATATATATCGTATGTATAATATAGTCGTAGTCATGTTACAAAGCAGCGACTAGCGTCTTACTTGTTTATTAACCCCCTAGCCAACCCCGAAAAGTCCCAACCCAAGCCCACCTGAACCCCCCCCCCCC